CTAAGAAATTATCTGAAGTGAGCAAGAGCAATACATAATTTCTAGTACCTTTGGCTTATTAATTTTTTACGCACTCAGACTCCTGACCATCAGGAAAATATTAAACAGATCCTGGCAGCTTTTTTTTTTTTCTTCAAAGATTTTATTTATTCAAAACACAGAGATACAGAGAGAGAGGGAGAGCATGAGCACGGGGAGAGGCAGAGGGAGAAGCAGGCTCCCCGCTGAGGAGCTGGAGGTGGGGCTCGATCCCAGGACCCTGGGATCATGACCCGAGCCGAAGGCAGATGCTTAACCATCTGAGCCACCCAGGCGCCCTGGCAGCTTTTTTCTTTTTTTAAATAGTGATCTACTTTGCCAGCATTTGCATCCATTAATAAATATTTTTGTATCTTTTATTTTTGAAATAGAGAAGCAGATCATCAAGTTTTAATAGCTCTGACAAGTGACTAACCCATTGTTAAAATTTAGTACCAGGGAAATGCGATTGTTTTATTGGGCAAGAAAGCTTCCATAAGCCAGTCATAATGAAAATCCACCTCACAGGTGCTCTTCCCCGCCCCCCAACAAAGTTCCTCTTGTACCTTTTATAAACATATGTACTGATGTGCCTTTTCCCGCACTTATGAAACTCTGTAGTCATTAGACACGTATTTGGCACCACATCTAGAGGTCAGCTTCTTGGGGAGCTTTGCCTTCAGGGGTCCCGGGCAGTGGAGCAAAGTGGCCCAACAGGACAGAGGCTGAAGGTGGATGGCGCCTCCATCCCATTTCTGCCTCTCTGTTTACCAGCTGCGTGATCTCAGGAAAGTTACTTCTCTTCAGTTTTCTTATTTGTAAAATCCAAATAATACCTCACAGAGTTGTTGAGAGGCTTAAATGTATAATTTTCTAAATTATAGCCTTAACACTGTTAGGGAACTCTTTGACATGCAGGCACTTTGTGTTTCTCTTCGTGCCAGTCACTGCTGATCAAAAACAGAATAGAAGGAAGCGGACATGAGAGTTATGTGAACACAGTGCTGAAAACCTCCCGCACTGGGCTGGGCCTCCCCTTGTCTTTATTGTCAGCACAGTGCAGAGGTTTTCTGCACAAATCCCACTTTTTCTCAAGTGTCTCCCTTCCTATCTCCCATCCCCAGCGCCCTCCCCTCCCTCTCTGGAAAGCCATGTGGGCATCTTCATTGTACCAATGACTGGAGGGCACTACCAGCACTTCAGAGACGACATCATACACAGGCCAGGGATACTAGGGGCTCAGAAATGGGAAGTGAAGTCTAAGGCAACCCCAAATCATTCCACCCAAAATGCCAATAGTACTCCCACCTTGAGAAACACTAGTAGCTCCTAGATCCTTTTCTCTAGTTAAATTCGGAATCCACTTTTCACAAAATTGGTGCACCGTTCCATAAGATCAGCATATGCCCCAAATCATGCCATATACATTGCAGAGTGTAGGTCAGGTTGAAAATTCTCCACACGTATATTCATCTATGCTGTGTCATTTTCCTCTTTTCTGTGTGTAAGTTTCCCTTAGGTTAATATAATGGGTTTCTTCAGAGTTCTATTATTCCATTAGTTACAACCCAGAGTTTAAGATCTGTGTTATTTTAAAAGGCATCTAAACTCCTTAAATGTATAAAGATCACATTTAATAACCAGGAAACCAAATCATGTATGTGAGAGAAGAAGTATGTTTTATTAAAAATAACTAATGTGCATGAAATTCAAGTATTAATAAGGAGTACTCAATATAATAAAAGTAAAAATAAGGCAGTAACCCAACTAGGTATCATTAGTGAGATAAAGATTCTTAAGTTCACCAAAAAGTAATTGATACACAACAAAAAACTATGTATATACACACACATATTTTCATCCTACCAGAGTCATAATTAAAAATAAATATATGCTTTAGATGAAAAGAGGGAGAGCATGGGAAAAGAAAGTTGAGCCTACTCTTCTTTTTTTTTTTTTTTTTAAAGATTTTTTAATTTATTTTTTGACAGAGAGAGACACAGCGAGAGAGGGAACACAAGCAGGGAGAGTGGGAGAGGGAGAAGCAGGCTTCCCGCCGAGCAGGGAGCCCGATGCAGGGCTCGATCCCAGGACCCTGGGATCATGACCTGAGCCAAAGGCAGACGCTTAACGACTGAGCCACCCAGGCGCCCCAAGCCTACTCTTCTTCAGTCTTCCTCTCCCACATCTCCAACTGAGGCCAGCATGATGGCATGATGAACTTTGAGAGAAAGAATAAAGCAAACTAGCAACTACTGTGCTTTCTTCTTCCCTGTTACCCAGAGTCACTGTGGAGCACTCTCCCACCACTCCCTGAACACCTCCTCACAACCCTCTTTCCCTGAAGTTCATAAAGCTCTTTTCTATGTATTTCCTGGTAACAGCTGAATAGGACCCACTTTCGTCAGTACATGGCAGGTGACTGCATGGTGACCAGGACAGGAGTTAATAGAGCCTCCCCAGTGACTTCGTATTACAGCCCAGTGCGTATGAGCATCAGAGGAGTAGATGAAAAAGCTTCCTTGATTTAGTGCATGTCCTTCAAACTGCTGCTCATGAAATCATTTTAGAAGGTCTGAACAGACATTTTAAAAATGGAATATGATAAAGTGTAGTAGAAAATATCAGGGGACATTGTACAGATCCTTAGCAAAACCGAGTACTGTTTAAGAAGTGCCACAACTCATTGCCATTAGTGGGAGGAAGGAGAAGGCGGGACGGGGCTGAAGGGATCTACACATTGGCTGGGATGGAGTTGCTTTTATCTTCTGCTTACTGCCATTCTGCTGTTTGTGACACAAGAGCTGACAGTATCCAGGTTATTTTATATTGACATAATTTGCAATTGGTTGTAAAACGAAGCAGGCGGGAAGTTTTTATCTTGCTTTCAGCAAAAGTGTTAAGACTTTCAACTGAGTTTTGTTTGTAAACATTTGGTAGTTTGATAGTTGTTACGATTTATAATATGTTATTAGATTAGTTTCCTCTTGTTATCACAACAAATAACTACAAATTTAGAGGCTTTAAAGAGCTTTATACATTTGTTATTTTACAGTTCTGTAGGTTAGAAGTCTGACCAGTTTCATTAGGGCGAAAATCAGGGTGTCAGCAGGACTGTCCTTGCCTTTTCCAGCTTCTAGAGGCTGGAATCTGCAGTCTGTCCTTGCCTTTTCCAGCTTCTAGAGGCTGCCCACATTTACTTCTTCCTTCAGCTTCAAAGCCAGCAACATCGCATTTCTTTGGCTTTTCTGCAATAGTCACATCTCCTCTGACTGAAGTCTGGAAAAGTTCTCCTCTTTTTTTTTTTTTTTTTTTATATTTTTTTTTTTTTTTGAGAGAGAAAACAAGCAGAAGGGAGGGGTAGAGGGAGAGGGAGAAGCAGGGAGCCCAACATGTGGGGCTTGATCCCAGGACCCTGAGATCATGACCTGAGCCTAAGGCAGATGCTTAACCGACTGAGCCACCCAGGCGCCCCCAAATTTCTCCTCTTTTAGTGACTTGTAGGATTTCATTGGGCCCACCCAGAAAGTCCAAGATCATTTCCCCATCTCAAGGTCCTTAACCTCAAACACATCTAAAGAATCCATTTTGCCATGGAAGGAAGCATAGTTATAGGTTCTGGGCATTAGGATGCAGACATCTTTGGGGGAACATTTTTTTTGTCTGCCATAGTTGTCTATATTGACTCTTGCTTCCAAAATATTTTTCTTGTAATATTGTGTAAGAAAATCAGTTGATTTAAGGAAAAATCATAGCAAAATATGTTTGGATGTGACAAAAATAATGACAATGGCATTCACATGACTAAAGGAATACTGGGAAATACACTTCTCCTGACAGCCCAATACCAGAAGAGAGTACAGACCAGTGAGACAGTGGACCCACCCATATTCCAGACAGTCCAGAACACTCTGCCACAACCTGCTGGCTCAGTCCAGTGTTCTCAGCCACGTGGGTTCACTTTCCTCATCCTGAAGCAGGGATCCTACCAGACAGTCTCCAAAGGTCCTTCCAGCTCCAACTTACTAATTCTAAGTAAATGGTTATGTTATGAATTTAAATGTCAGGGTTAAGCATATTTTGAAATAATCTAAATACCGTGAAATATTCAAAACATTAAAACACTGCTTCTATTTTAAATGCTTACTTCCCCAAATGTAGTTGTCAAGACCAAAATGTCAGGTTTTGGCTGATTATTTAAATGATTGCTATCATACTTGGAATTGTCTTGCCAGAGTTTTTCTGTTTTGGGGTTGTTTTTAATAAATACCATTTTGAGTTGGTGAATGCTCGTTATCCATTGCACTTATCAAACAATTGTGGATTCTTTGAGTACATTTCCTGAATTTAGCCAAATAGAGGGTATTGGGCAGGTAGAGGGAGAAGCCCCCCCACCCCATTAGGTAGACATTTGAAAGGATCAGTGATTCTTCAAGTGCACACTTATATTAAAAATATTTAACTTAAGGGGAGAGATACCTGTACTATTCTTGAGATAATAATTGGGTCAGTTCTAGTAATTCTTAATGACTTTCTGTTCTTTTAATTAAAACTACATGCTAAAGAGGTATTTTATTCCTTTCTCTGCTAAGAAAAATTTCAAGCTCAATATTACATTCCCTAAAATAAAATCAATTTTGTCCTGAAATAAGCTTTAAAAACTCTGACAGCCTATGTTCTTTGATTATCTCATAAATAACAGTTTCATATCAGCTCACCTTCCTCCTCCCCCCTACCCCCGTCTCACTTTGTGCCAATCACAAGTGGATGCTCAGTATCACCCCACAGCACAAGATAAATAAGCTTGGAAGGTTTCCTAGCAACATATTGTTCTGGGAACCTGCTCTGTTCCCCTGAACAAGATGAAGCCAAACATCCTAGAATCTCAGCCAGATGGGAAAGGATTAGCTTATTTAATGCTTGTTTAATGCATTTTTAAAAAATTTCACATTGAAATGAACCTCTTAACATAAGTAGCAAAACTGACTTTTCAAAGGACACTTTTTTACATGAAAAAAAAATCTGTAACACTTTGAATTTTAAAAATGCGGTTTTAGAAGAAATTTTCTAGAAATAAACTTGCAATTTGTAATCAGTCATTGGTAAATGGGTCCATTTTAGGACCAGTAGAAAATACTTCCACATAGGACTGATGTTCAGCTTTGGTGTACCCCTCAGTACCTGTGCTTATTTGCAGAGATGCTGACATACTTCCGATCTTGTGGGTAAATGGCTGCTGCACAGCACTGTCCCCACAGTACTCACTTCTCGCCTGGATCCTGTTCCTAGGAATGCCTTGGAAACACCTGTCCTTGCTTAGAACTGAGACTTTTTCCCTTTGTCCTCAACTCTGGGCTACTTCAGTGCCAGGGACTCACCACTTCATCTTAAGAGTGTTTTTGGTTTTTGGAGTGTATGATTAATACATATGGAGAAAAGACAGCTAGAGGAAATTGAGGCCCCCAGTTAAAGTCAGGAAGAAATAATGTTGTTGCTGCTATCTTGTTGGCACATGACCACGTGTATTTTCCTGGTCTGTCTGATGGTCTTGAGGCCAAAGGGTGGGCAGATGGTGCCTCCCTGTCTTTTGGACTCTGGTTCATCACAGTGTACTGTTGAAGGTCTCTGGAGATGGAGTAATGAAAAATTAGTTTCTCATGACCATATTCAGCAGTGGTTGTGCAATTCAGTTACACCCTGAAAATTGTCCTTAACTTCTTGTTTCACTGGGGAAGCTCCCCCATCAGCCAGATGAATATTGTCATCATGTGGTTGTGGAATGATTTCCACTGTCTCCAGTTTGGACTGAGTTTGTGAAATTTCCCAATTGTGGTGAGAAGCAGGTAATTCCAGTACTTGAGAATGCTCCTGGATGGAAGAACAGTCATTAGAATATGATGGGGCATGACACATGGCGTCTTTGCTTTTTATTTAACAGATTCTCAGGCCAGATTCTCACACACATATTACATGTTTTCTAAATACCATATTTTGAACTCAACAAGAAACAGTCTGCTGAGAGCCTCCTATGGGCCAACAACTTAGGTAAGTCTCATGACAATGGTTACTAAAGAGCATCAACGCATCATTTTGCCTTCAAGTCCCCAAGAATCCAGCAAAATAACACATCTGTTGTCTTTTAAAAAGTTAGGTAAGCTTTTTCCTCATTTCAAGTCACTTACTTTAGCACCTAAACATCAAATAAAGATTTTGATGTTGAAAGGAATTCTGTAATTTTGATTGTCCAAGGAAAGTCTAAAAGTCATATGGAACATAGATGATAATACATTAATTTTATTGAATACTTTTTTTAAAAAAAATTCCAGGAAACAGGCAATATTTTAGATACTTTGCCTGTGTTAACAGCATTTAATTCTCCTGACAGCCATTATGAAGCGGAAATCTGTTTGCCAGCCATTTTACAGATGAAGAACTCAGACCAAGAGAGGTTAAATATTGCCAAGAGGTTTAATAGTTAATAAAAGAAAACAATAGTAGGCATTCAGACCCTGATCTATCTAGGGCCAAATTCTATGACCTTTATTCTGTGTTATGCTTATTTGTTTATTTTTAGAATTCTAAGATTCTGTAAGTCCTAGTCTTTTTTTTTTTTCGGAGAAGAGTAGACTACTGTCTTTTAAAGATGACACAATTTTAGTAAAAAATAGATGAGTTGTTTAGATGATGTTCGGTTATTTCACACAGCACAACGATTCTGTTTTTGTTGGGAGTTTTTAGTGACAGACTGTAGAATCTTCTTTCTCTCGGGTACAATATATTGACTTTATTTAAAAATATTCTTTGTTGGGCGCCTGGGTGGCTCAGTCGTTAAGCATCTGCCTTCGGCTCAGGTCATGATCCCAGGGTCCTGGGATCGAGCCCCACATCGGGCTCCCTCCTCAGCGGGAAGCCTGCTTCTCCCTCTCCCTCTCCCACTCCCCCTGCTTGTGTTCCCTCTCTCACTGTGTCTCTCTCTGATAAATAAATAAAATCTTTAAGAAAAAAATTCTTTGTTGCTCAGTTTTTTACCTTTATAAAACAGTTTTCCTTTTCAGTATGGTAGAGGGCTATGCATGAATTTTACTGAGAAGTAGTTAGAATTAATAGCACTATTAAATGCATTTACAAAAAACAGTTACGACATAACCATGTTGCAGCACAGAAATGAATGTTTGTAAATAAAGTTTCGTTGGAACATGGCCACTCTTGTTTGTTTACATATCACTAATGACAGCCATTTCTCTGAGGTGACAATAGAGTGGAGTGGCTTTGACCCAGACTGTGGGGCCCCCAAAGCCTAAAATATACTATGTAGGCCTTGACAGAAAAAGTTTACAGACCCTTCCCCTCAGATCTAGACTTTCCCCCCCTACTTTGAGTTGGGTGTGTGCCATTAGAATGCCAGAGACTTAATTGGGAACCAACATCAGAAAATGTTTTCCTAAATCATGTCCTTGTCTAACATGCTTTTCTTCTGATCCCTGTAGGTACCAACCAAGAAACTGAAGAAATATGAGAAAGAATATCAGACAATGCGAGAGAGTCAGCTGCAGCAGGAAGACCCAATGGATAGATACAAGGTAGGGGAGGCGTGGGTCACCCATGAGAGCAAAGTGCCTTCTGTACCCTAAAGGAGCACTAGTGACCCGTTCAGCTCCCTCGGTTTCTTCTTGATTGACTTAGATACTCTCTGACCATGATAAATGTCCAGGTATGTTTTCATTTCAGGAAACTCTGGCGTAGCCAACCATAATATTTCTTTTCTTTCAGTTTGTATATTTGTAGGTAACTCCACCTGTTGCATTTATACTTGGAATCTTCATAAGAAGCTGAGAGAAAGAGAGGGAAAAAGAAAGAGAGAAAGTGGCTATCGACTACTTTCAAAAATGAGAGAACAAGGAAAGTGGCAGAGGACTGTGTTAGCTGTGCATGGTCACGTCCACAAAGACTTGTAGAAGGTGAACTCTTCCAAGCCGGGCACAAGAATGTTTCAGACTTTCCTCTGTCTGTAGCAACTGTTAAACATACAAACTCATTTGGAAGGAAAAATAAAACCCGCAAAGGTTAACAGAGCATAGTAACGGTGTTTGTTGCAACATTTATTTCCACAAATCTGAGTAACAGTGACATTTCACTACAGTATCCAGTTTCAGAATCAAAGCTGATTTCAGCTTAATAGCTTAGTTAATTGTAGTATTTGTAAAAAAATTGGGCCATTCACATCAATAGATCTCTTCAGTGATAGTTAGCAACACTGTTCCCATGATGCAGTGCTGGGGAAACACTGATTTCGAACTTATTTTCTCCAGCTGACATATTATCGTCTCTCTTGAACATGTTTTAATTCCTCAGATTCCTACAGGTGCATCGTGGTTCCTTCCTGCTTCATGTCAGTAACCCTGGGATTAGGGAATATTGTATTTTCACACCGAGCACCACCAATGCCAACATACCCTTCCAGGAAAAGTACTGGGGCAGCGTTGTTAATGAGCCCCCACCGCGGGATGACGGCCACTTCTGTAACTCGAGCTGCCCTCACCTGGTCAGAGAAGTCACCAGGGGCAGCTGGAGTCACAGTTCCTCTTATCTCCGCTGCTGACCGGAACGGGGCGTGGCAGTAGTAGATGGGTGATGTGGTCAGACCTGAGTTCAAATCCTGCCTTTCCAGAAAAAATAAAAAACAAACAAACACAGGATTTGTTATCCCCATCGGGGGGTGTTAATAACTCTGTCGCATTGTTCTGCATCCCGGGCTCGTTAGCGAGCTGCTTCCTGGTCTGTAAAACATGCAGGAGCTTACTCATCTTACAGGGCTTCTGAGGACGTTGTGTGCTAAGTACCTAGCACGTAGCTGGTGTTCAGTAAATGGTTGTTATTAGCCTTAGTAGGCCAACGGCCTGCCCTTACCCAGGTATTATTACCAGAATAGCATCCCCTCGCGTGGATCTGCTCTACCAGTCCCTCGCTTATCTTCTTCACATTTCTCCCAAGTTGTTCCCCAGCAGCCTGACAGCAGTATGTTTCTCCCCTTGTTTATAGAACGGGGTAAAGAACTGAGAAGAGGGGCGCCTGGGTGGCTCAGTCGTTAAGCGTCTGCCTTCGGCTCAGGTCATGATGCCAGGGTCCTGGGATCGAGCCCCGCATCGGGCTCCCTGTTCGGCGGGAAGCCTGCTTCTCCCTCTCCCACTCCCCCTGCTTGTGTTCCCTCTCTCCCTGTGTCTCTGTTGAATAAATAAATAAAATCTTAAAAAAAAAAAACAAAACTGAGAAGAAGAGCCCATACCTGTTAACCCACAAGGCACTCACAGAATAAGGTTTGAAGCTCATTTCCACCACCACCACCCCCCTCAATAAAACCAATCTTAATGTAGCTCATGTCACATGCTGCTTTAGAATGGCTTGAAGCAGTAATTTTAAAATAGTCTTAAGGATCCCAAATGAAGCCCTCCTACTGCTTATATGATCATTCTAATTTTCTTAGTTGCCATCATTACAAATAAAATCTGGGAAGATTGCTTTAAAATAGAGGAAAAGGCAACAAAAGACTAAAATTGTATATTTAAAATCAGTCTGGGACTGAACTTGGTACTGTTTCTTAAATCCTTTTCATATCAAAGTAGATATGTATAAATAGTACAGTGCGTATTATTTTTTGAAGAGTACTTCTCACATGTAAGTCTTTCAATGTGTGCACATTTTACTGAGGGACCGAAGTAGAATTAAACTTGTTTTGTTTTGTTTTGAAAACATATACTCCTTTTAACTTATGCATATCAGGTATGCTCTGTAGCTATTTCTTTTGTATTGTAATAGCTTGTCAATACATCTAACTAATATTTCTATACCCTTTTATATACTTGGTAAAGTTACAGTCCTCAAATTATAATTACACTTTCAAGGTGACAGTTGACAAAATAGTTTCCAACCATCCCCAGACTTGTTCTTTCAGATAGTCAATATCTAGTTTAAGAAACTAATTATAATGACCTTAAAGTAGGAAAGAAATACCTCTTAGTCTCTTCTAAATTTAATTGTGTCAAGAATAAGATCTATGTCCCTGGAATGAGCACTTTATAATTTGTAGATCTTGGACTGGGAACCTAGTTGTGCAAATTCTTAAGAACAACTTGGGAAGACCTCCGTGGGCATCAACTCAGAACTTATGCCAGTTCACTAACAAGCCCTCCTCAACCATGAAGGTCCATACTGCTTAAAATGCCATGTTTCCCCCCTAGGAGTTAGGAAAGTTGTGTCAATTTTTTTTTGAAGGCCCAGAAATGTCATACAATAAATATCCTAAGAGATTTTTCGGTTTGATGCTCTTTCCCTTGGCATACAAAAAGGACTCTCACATGGAAGCCAGAGGTGGGATGAAAGACCCAGCAATTCAGAGGCAGCTCTCAGCCATCACATTCTTGCTGTATCTATCCAAATATGTGTTTTATTTTTATGACAGATGCCATTATCTACATTTTCAAGTGATGTCACTATACTCACCCGTATCTAACACTTAAATCTCAACCACAAAGAGATGAATTATGTTGGTATAAATTTAAATTTTAGAACCCTAAACACAAAAACGTTCTGGAACTAGACAGTGGCAACGGTCGCACAACTTCGTGAATGTACTAAAACCACTGAATTGTACATTTTAAAAAGATGAATTTTATAGTATGTGAGTTATATCTCAAAAAAAAAAATCCAAGCAAAATGTTTCAATAGGATTGGCATCCAGCCCACCATCTTCTTTTCATAAATCCCAAGTCACATGAGAGGTGCCTGTGCAGAAGCCTTATTTGTGGGAGGGAGACCTTCCATCAGATCTGGAGCTAATTAATGATTAAAAATCCTATGTGTATACATATTTATAGGGGAAAGGCCAGCATAAGTGGGTGGTACATTCATTTTCATATATAAATATGGATGCACACAAACATAAACATATATAAATACGTGTACTCACTGGGTTACCTGGTCTTGGCTTCAGTTTGCATTTGAAAATCAGCTCTGTAATGACTTCCTACAGTATTTGGTGTGCTCTTTCTGCTGATCTTCATGACTAGGTTGCAAGACAGAAAAAGGAAACTTTATTGGAAGAAGAATATAGAACATTTATTCTAAGTCTCTTTTATTGTCCTTCTTAAGTTTGACCTGGCCAACTTGGTGTTGGAGTTTTTATCTACTTGATACTTTGGTTTGTAAATTAATTAATTTATTCCAAATGAAGTGAAATTCAGGATAAGGATTTGTCTATAGAAATCCATCACGTATATTTCCATTTTCATACAAGCCCCCAGAAAACATTCATGTGATAGCTATTTGTGTATGTGTAGCTATTTGAGTGTATTTTAAAAATTAATAGCCAAGCCCCTAATAAGTAGTTACCAACTCAGAAACTGTAATACTGTTTTCTGTTTTAAGGAGTTGAGTTGTTTCCATTTAGGGAAAGATAGTTTTCTAATAATGTAACCTATTGACAGCACCTTTTAGAGAACTGCAGCCTTCATCTATCTCTGGGATATGGTATGCTTTTCTTATTTAATTAACTACTTGTACAGTTGTGGGGGAAGCCTTAGCACAGCTAATTAATTAATTCAGTGAGTCTTCCAAAGCATGTATGTTATTACCTGTTCTAGATGGCAAATCCTAGAAAGAATCAGGAATGCTTAAACTCTCTTTTGAGTTTGGGACACAGATAGTATTATACATCATTTCTAATTGAAGTATCTTATCTACATTTAGTATAATTAAATTTAGAATGTTTAATTTCTTTCATGAGGTTAGAAGTAGTAATTCTCTTATCAAAGTATAATTCAAACAGGAAGAAAATAATTCCTCTAAGTTTACAAAAAGTTTGTCTCACACATACTAATTTTTGTAGAGCAATTATCCCTGCATGTAATTTAAAATTAAGCTATCTAATTATACTTGGCAAAAACAATGCAAACTGGTCTAAGTTATTTCATTAGCTATGGAAGGATGGCAAATAATACAAGTTCAATTAAGCTTTGCTTCAAAATATTTATCACATTTTGTTTTTAACTTGTCAAGTGAAAGAAGTTTAAATTTTGCTAATCTTACCTGAAAGAAAAAAAAAGGCTTCCCTTTTTTCTTACTGTTCGGGGCCTTTCCTTCCTCAAGAAGTCAAGATAAGTGAATCCGTCTTTGAAAAGTCTTTTTCTACCAATGAAAATACTTATATTTTATTAATTTTCCTCATCACAGAGACTGTCATTGGTTTTTGGAAATATTTATATTTATGAAATAATGTGCTTTTAATGAATACTAACAGTCAAGAGCATGGTTTCTATCTGCCTGTGATAACTTTGTGATAGACCTCAGAAGGCTGCCACTCTTTTTGAGCATGGATAATCCAGTGAACTCACTGTTCTAAGATGGTGGAAATTGCAAGCTAACCCCTACTGAGGATTCTTGAGCAAATTAGGTGAGAAGGAGCAGGTGGTTTCTGATGATTCCTGTTCACTGATTGAGTTTTACTTAGCGCTTGAGAGAGGTATGAATGTTATGCATATTAAGAATTTCTAAGTATGTTTATTGATCTTCAGAATTAATTCTCCAAAACTTTTATTCAATTTTTAGTAACTTACTTCCTGTTAAAGTAGCATTACTGAGAAAATTATGTCACATTAATATGTTTTGACATTATCTATAACCCATGTGCTTTTTTTTTTTTAATTTGCTTTGTCTGCTAGAGCAGGGATCTGCAAACTATGGCATGTGCGACAAATCGGCCCACTGCCTGTTTTTGTAAATAAAGTTTTATTGGAACACAGCCCACCCATTGTTTACTTATCAGTGTCTAGGACTGCTTTTGTACAACAGTGGCAGAGTTTGAGTAATGTCAACAAAGGGTGTATGGTCTGCAAAGCCTAAAATACTTCTTGTCTGGCCATTTACATTTAAAGCTTGTTGACCCCTGTGCTAGGGAATAATCTAAGACTGTTTTTTTAAATGCTAGAAGAACTGCAGTCTGGTTTGCCAACTGCCAGTTAGTTATTACTGACAAGATTTTGTTTTTAGTTTGACATTTAAATTTTTTAAAATTTCTACCAGAAAGATAAAATTGGATATGTTGGGTAAAGGGAAGAGCATAAAAGGATTTCAAATATCCAGATTTTCTCTCTAAAATCTTCATTTGCAGACAATATAGACATTTAAACATTTCATCTGTAGGCATTTGCCTTTGAATGTCAAAAAAAAAAAACCTGCTGAAATTTGATGATGATAATTATCAACTCTTGAAAGAATTACCCAAACGAAAATATGCGAGAGTTGAGTATGTTGTTGCTAATAAAATTGTACTGGGTCTTTTAGGAAAACATTTTCTCCTGACCCTTAAGTGTCTTTAAAAACATGTGCCAGGAACTCATTAGAACAGCAGATGACACACCCAAAATACTGAGCTAGAGTTTACGATGCCGCCTCCTTCCCCATCATTTTTTCCTGTGAGGCTTAGTTTATTTTCTTCTGAGTGCCAGTTCACATTTCTCTGGTTTCTCATCACGGAATAAATGACGTTCACCATCCCTTGTGCTGCTTCACCCACACCCCAGCCCTCAGATGCACAGGAGACCTGGAAGCATTTCTCTGCCCAGCAATTTCATTCTATGGCCTGAAAATGAACTATTTTGCAATGCTTCCGACCTTGTCATATGAGGAAGCTCCCTCCACCCGGCGGAAATAACAGTGTAAACAACTCACACCGTAGCTGCTAACACGAACACATAGAGCGTTCCCATCAGTCTTGCAGAGGGCCCAGGGCAGCGGGGAGAGGGAGGAGTCTGAGTGTGTTCATCTTCCTGAGTTGAGACTTGCCCACTGGCTGCCTCCAGTGTATTTTCTTCCAGCGAAAGTTTGCAGACAGAGAGAGAACTTAGAGTAAACGACACTCTGAGGAAAAACACAATAGCAACACATTGTTAACAAGTGTCTGCTTTTGTTATTGCCATTTCATAATTGTATTAGTAGGTGTGCGATTTCATTGGATATTCTGTTTTTTTTTTTCAATTGTCTTTTGTACCTATGATTGAAAACGGTAGTTGGTCTATGACTTTTGAGGAGGTAAGTTATTTATCTGTGTATGTCTGTGATACGGCGTCTGTCTGTCTGAAAAATGCAGTATCCTCCTCCCAAAAGTTACTCACCAAACTCTGCCGGCCATGCAGCTCCTATGCCCCAGGGGGGAGGGAACGGACGAGGAGCGTTGTTGTCTGCTTTTTGTTGGAATGGTGTCAGTTGTGTGAGATGGAGGATGTGCCCAACAGGGCAGTGTGAGTTTCCAGGGTTATGGAAGCAGGGTCTCCTGCTCTCTTTGCGGAGAGGGGTGGGAAGCCAGCCACCTGCTATGTTGACAGGCTCCGAGCCGTGGGGCAGATCTGCTTGTGCAAACCGGGGCACGCCGCTGCCTCTGCACGGACAGGCTGACGGGCTGACTCCCAGGCGCTCTCGGGTGGGCAGCCCTTGCTGACCTTTCAGAAGGAACAAGGCCCATCCAGATGGAACTTTCTTCTCCGTTCTAGTATAAAGGGGAGCTTTTTCTTGCAAAGAAAATACAGCCCAATAAGACACCTGACTTGAACCCTTGGCAAGTGTAGGCAGGTTCGTTGGCAGGAACCCCCGCCTCGGTGGGTAGCGGTGCCTCGCTGGCCCGCTCGGATACGGAGGACTGCTGAGGACACCTCCTGTCCCAGGTTCAGACTTTGGAGGACGATACTGCATTTTCGGCCCCACAGCTTGCTTGCCCACATGTCTGTGAGTGCAGAGCAGGAGTCACACCCCACTGCACTGCTTGCTGTGCACACACCCAACCGAAGCTTCTTGCTAAAGCCAAGCCGGTAGGCGCGCCCCCTAGGCCATTTTGCTTTTTAGGGATGCTTAGACACTCATGGTTTCTTCCAAATCTTCCCCTGTCCCCCCACTCCTCCCTTGGCCGCGTGTCCATAGGGAAGGGTTCCAGTTGCAACAGGCATGGTGATGGCACGTTTCCAGTCAGCACTGAGCTGAGCCCCCGGCTCTCCCTTAATTAACATCACCCACCGGCCATTGATCTCCCATCAGGAGAGAAGTAGCCACCGGGTGCATCCTTAAAGTACTTGCAGCGAGTGCTTTTCCATGTCTGACTTTGCCTGCAGTTTACCTTAACTCCCTGGTATGTCACTGTCACCTGAAAAACCGGTAGCTGCAACATTGTCCCTTGGGCGAAACAACTGTAAAGTCAGTAAGAGTTGAGAGGACTCTGCACCTTGGAGTCCTGCAGGTACAGTTCAGGAGGACTCGGACACTGACTCAGGAGCAGGGACTGGAGTCGTGTCACCAGGAGCTCTCGGGAAGGGACTCACGGAGAGGGAGAACACTCGCTTCCCTGCTGAGCAGCCCACTCTGCACTGTGTCCTGACAAAATGGTGCTGGGTGTTGCTGCTCGTTCCTGGCAAGGAGGAAATGGATTGGAAAAGTTTCTGGAACACTTTTTATTATTATTATTATTATTATTATTATTATTATTCTAAGTTTTCAACAAGTAGGCAAGTTGTTTCCACAAAGAGGAGTAATATTTAGATGTATTGGGTAGAAGACTAACTCTCGGGCCCCTGCTAGAATTTGGATTGCTTCAGCAAAGATTGAAAGATTTCGCCATAGAGTTCCTGGCTGTTTATCTGCTATATTTTTGTGCCTACTCTGATGATATTTCTGAGGGAGGTTAGGACTTCCGTAGGTCGAGGGGACAGACAGAATTTGATGAGTGCGATGTGCCCCTACAAATATGTACACGGTCTTTTCAGGAATATTTTGGGAAAGGATGCCTGGCAAGGCCACAGTTTTAAGGGGTTACGTAGTATCTTGGTCAAAACCGAAGATCCAGTCTGGTTTTGGGTAGAATATGAGCTTCTCACAGGAGTAAACTTTAAAAAAGTTCTCATTTTGGCATTTTATCCTTTTCAGTGGAATTGAAATTCCGAATGGCTTTTAATTTTTTTAGATAACATTTTAAACACATGTATTCTGTATTCATTGTTGAAAACTTAGAAACATTTTTAAAGTACAAAGACAACAATGAAAATAAGCCAGTACCTGCAATTAATGTTATTTATGTTATGAAAATGAGACTTTCTAGTTCCTTGTCTTTTTTTTTTCTATGAGGTGGCTTAAGCATTTCTTTGATCATATTTTTCACTTAAATTTTAACACTGCATGGAATTCTATCATGAATTTATTTAAAAGCATTTAAGAGATTTGGGACTGTTTTTATCTTCTTCAGTAGATTTCTTTTTCAAAAAATGTTTTGGCATTCCCCAAGTACCCCAGTCTTCCTCTTCCAAAAGAGGAGGTAGGAATAGACTCTGTTGGCCGGTTCTCCTTTAGCTTCTCTGCTGGCCCTGTTGGGGGATCCTCCGCTCCATGAAAGTCTTAGGCTCTGCCCTTACCGTCAGTCTCCTAGCCCTTCTTTAAAAAACCAAAAGAAAAAAAAGAAATAGGGCTTTCTTTTTTCCATATAACCAACCCTAGGTTGTTCTATAGAAGATAAATGTCCTTTTGCCCCATGTTACGCAATGATACACTCTCTTCCAGGGCATAGATCTGTCTTCTGGTTGTACAGCACTCCTTTGTCTGAGTTTCTGCCACCCTTGCAGAAAACCCTGTTAGGAGTATAAATCTGAAAAACAGGAAGGTCTCATCACATTGAAGTCTTTCCTGTCAGCTCTCTTTGAATCTCCCATAACTGTGAACAGTAGCAAAAAAAAAAAAAAAAATACTTTTGATACTTTGGATTGGAAGACAGTAAATTGCTACTCTGAAAATAGATGCGCATGTACACAGTTCATAATGTTTAGTTCAGGGGAGACCTTTCTTCCTAAAAATGTAACTTGGTTCTTTCATCATAGGACTTTGTTTCAGATTTTTCCTGGGAGTTCAAGAGGAAAAAAACAGCTCAGTAATTTGTTTTACCCAGAATCTTTTGAAGTTTTAAAGTTGAGAAATTTTAAAAGCCCTCCAACAAACATCTAGAGCCATTGTCATAAGGACTGTAGCTCATACTAATAACAGAAATTGGTGTTCAGAAAAGTATTTCTACCCCAAGGATGAATGTGTCAGTTGATAGCAAAAGTCCTGAACCCATGTATCCTGGTTCTTGATTTAGTGCTCGTAATTAAATATATTCAATGAATGTGAACTCTGATACTGGAAAAACAACGTGAAGAGATGTCTAGTGGTTTTCCCCCATTTCACACCTTTTGTGTCATGAGTTTCCCTTGAGGTTAAGGGTGGGATTACTGTGCATGTTTCAAACAGAGGATGGCCTGTGTCTGGGCTCTGGGTCTATATGAAACGTCACAGGATTGGGGAGATGTTGGAAATTTTGCCTTTTGTGGCACTTTTTTAATAATGCAGCCTTTTACCATGCAGCCTGTCAGGGACAGTTGTAAGGTTCACCGGGTAGAGAGCCGCATCTGCACTGCTGGCTTAACTCACTGTTGTTTCCCGGACAGCAATCCTGCCTTCCTGTGCCCCTTGCGCCTCCTCCTTTTTACACCTTCAGAAGTTCACTTTGTTGTCGCTGCTTGTTTTTGCTCACCGGTCCCGTTCGTTTCTGCTAGTGCGTCTCGGCACTAATGCCGCCCTCCGGCTATTGCTCTTTTCCTGCAGAGGGAGAACCGGAGACTGCAGGAGGCCAGCATGAGGCTGGAACAGGAGAACGATGACCTCGCCCATGAGCTAGTAACCAGCAAGATCGCTCTGCGAAATGACTTGGATCAGGTAAAAGTGTCGTTCACTAGGTTGCAGTCAGACCGTGCCAGCTCCTCAAAGGCGAGGACAGAGTTGCTCTCCCCGCAGTCCCGCTGGGGCTCACTCTGTACTTGACGCTGAGGTCTGGCTGCTTGTTGGCTGAAGGGGCGGCCAGTAGGTGGCAGGGGACAGCTTGTGCTAACTGGAGAGGGTGGAAGACGGGAGCCTTTGAGAACGGTTTGGGTCATTTCCAAACAGCATGTGCGACGTGTTTTTTTTTATAACTCTGAACTTCTCTGGTGTCTCTTCTCTTCGTCTGTACTTTTCCTAAGCCAAAGGCTGCCAGCATAATTACCTGGGAATATCAGTCACCAAGACTATACCAATGCCACGCTGACATTGGGAGGCACTTTACTTTTTGTTACAAGAAGAGTTCTCATCTACAATGAATGTGAGGATTTTATGTGAAGTATGTACATTAAGATACGTGCATTGGTGGGGGGGAGACAGGTATTCTAGGGGCTAAGGGCCAAGATGCCTAGCTGTGAATCCTGGCAGCACAGTCCGCTCACCGCATGACCCTGCGCAGTTCTTAACCTGCCTATAGGTAAAATAAGGTGAAGCACGTCAACAGTGTGTGTTCAGTACATGGTAGCTGTTGCTAGGAAGACCTTAAATTGTTCAATTTCCCTGGTTCTTTCCAGCAGTACTGACAGCTTTAGGACTTCCTGTTTTCTGTCGCTAGTGTTTTATAAAGGATATTTGGCAATATGGAAGGAGTCTTGGGCGGATTTAAAATTATCTCTTTTCTGACTTAAAAAGTGAATATTCCCCACAAACAGTGCCAGGGTCAGAAAGAATGAGACTTACACTGTTGAATCTGTAAAAAAAGAGGCATTACCTGTGTACTGACTGCTCATTGACAGAATTTCAAATACAGATCCAATAATATAAATACTATTAAATGTTTGGAGGAGTTTTTTAAATGTTGAAAAATGGTCCCTGGCACAACTCCTTTTTCCCATATAAACGGCTAATTTTGCAGCTCAAAAGTTTCAACCACAGTAAGATGGGGATTAGACGACTATTAAGGAAAAGTGCTAAAGGCGGAGAAGGGGCAGCCGAAGGAATCCACACTAAACAGAGTTTGAAAATAAAACAGAAACTTTGCTTCGTGGGACACAGGATGTAGAAGGTTGAAAAGCAGTCTGGTTGGGGGGCCGGGGGTGAGGGGGGTGACCCTTTTCCCCACGAAACCATTCAGCCAGGCTGTTTGGAAGTTGTTAGAGGTGGTTTGAGAAATGTGTGACTGAGAGAGTCAGAGCCAAAGAAGACAGAGGGGCGTCCAGCCCGACAGGACCAAGACCAGTCTGACCTCGGCTGGTACATTTTTGTATTAATGAGACTATGCTGGTGAGTCAGTACTATAACGAAATTCCTGTTTTCATATTGGCTCTCCCAACGGCCTCACATTTGATTCTGTTCTTTTGAATCTTGTATCCATTAATAGTTTTCTGAAGATGGATAACTAAATAAGAAAGTTTTAAGCAGTGGGACTCTGGGGATGCGGTGAAATTCACTAGAGAGAGTCGTACGTTGAAAGTTGTGCAGGAAGTGTATTTGGTGTTATCTATCAGACCTTTAAAAGGATTAAAAAGTAATGAGATGAAATGTCTACTGAGTACCTACTATGCACCAAGGACTATATTCCGCAATTTTATAAGCATTATCTTGTTTAATATCACTAATGACTCCATCAAGCAGGTATTATTTTAATCTTACATTTAGTAAATGAGGAAAGTGACATATGTACTCTGACTTGGAAAGCTATTCTAACAGAGATCTGGACAGAAGTATGTGTACAAGATGGTTTATTACTGTGTTACTCAGAAGAATAAAAAGTAGAAATAATGTATATGTCCAATAAAAGGGGAGAATGAAAGTAAATGTCTTTTTGGAATAGTTTTTAAAAACAATGGGAAGATGATGTTATAATATTTTTGTAAAACCTATAAATTTATCTGTATATAATGCTTGCATCTAAATTGCAAAGGATATGGTTGGTGGAGGGCCATCATTTTAGGAAAGGAAGCTGAAATATACTTCTAAAGGAAAAAAGCCTACAAGGAAATCCATCAAAATATTAGTTCTAGATACTCTGGGTGATGATCATCAATCTAACATTTAGATTCATCTTTATGCATGTATTTTTTTCAATTATTTTATCTTTTATAAGAAGACCTTAAATTCTTAACAACCCTTGGTTTAGTAATAATATACGTTATACCTTATTAATAATCAGAAAAAAACATATTATTTTTTAAAAAGATGTTGGACCACCAAGAAAGTCTATTTTGTGGATCAGCCTGGATCATGCGTACTCCTGAAATAATTGATGGTTGAGTATCTGGGTAGATAGCTTATATAGATTCTGGATGCTAGTCCCTGAAGAAAAGATTCCTTCATTCTTTCATTTTCTTCCCCTTCCTCTTAATTTCCTCCTTTTATACCTCTCTTCTTAAAAGAGTAAGGAAGACCTGGCCCTTGCCTTTTGAAGCTTGTTATCTAAGTGAAAGAATAACAATTGCTATTTCATGCATATCTCCTCCAAACATCTAATTTTGCAGTTTCTGCCCAAGTGGGGCTTAGCTGCCTGTCAAAAAGCTGTCCGTGCACTTTAGGTGTCCTGCCCCCCAGCCAGCCTGGGAGGACACCAGACGCACAGGGAAAGCACCGGCTCACCCCGCCTTCACCCCACTTGCCCCCTACTTTTCCATTGCCACTTTCATCAAAATCACATCTCTTCATTAAACTAGTCAAACTTCAGCCAACATTAAACAAGCAGGAAAGCAGATTGTATTCAAGACAATATGTAAAGCAAACAAGCACTAATTAGATAATTAGGTACTCTTTAAAAATAAATTATTCCTCACCCTTGTCATTTTAGTGCTGGCTTCGGGCATCCTGGGCACAAAAGGCTCTTAATTTTTTTCTTTGACAGAGCCGTCTGTTTTGACAACTTGCCCTCCCTTAGACTCTTGAAATAAGGACTTCTCCATGATTAACAATGTAAAAAGATACGACATCTCCATTTCAGTTTCTGTAGCTAGCTGCCTTCAAGCCCTTCCTGTCCTTTCTCGTTCGCAAGGAACAAGCAGAAGAGACACACCAGCACTTTGGCACTGCGGACGGCGCCTTGTCCTTCTGACCAGGGCAGGTTCTGAGTTAGGAGCAGGGGCTCCGCGTAATGAGTGGCGAAGTGTTTTGTTTTGTTTTAGATTGAACAACGGGCTTGGGCTTGGCGAGTTCTTTGAGAACTCCTTTCTGAAAGATCCTCATCCCTGATGTGAGAGCTGAACCTTTTGATCAGGTTATTGGTCGATTCATGATTAAATCACAAATGGCAGTGCTTTTTCCTCTCCTATGTATGTCACATGAACCTTAGGTAGCAATTCAAAGTCTCCACATCGATAAGGCATTATAAGGGGGCACCTGGGTGGCTCAGTTGGTTAAGCGTCTGCCTTCGACTTGGGTGGTGATCCTGGGGTCCTGGGATCGAGCCCCCACATCAGGCTCCCTGCTCGTCGGGGAGTCTGCTTCTCCTTCTGCATGCTCTGCCTGCCGCTCTCCCTGCTTGTGCTCTCTCTCTCTCAAGTAAATAAAATCTTTACAAAAAAATAAGGCCTTATAAGATGTTGGTAAGTGATGGGCGCTGGGGTGGCTCAGTCAATGGGGCAGCCAACTCTTGATTTTGGCTCAGGTCATGATCTCAGGGTCCTGAGATTGAGCCCCACATCAGGCTCTGCACTCAGCAGGGAATCTGCTTGAGATTCTCTCTCTCTCTCTCTCTTCCTCTGCCCCTCCCCCTGCTCTCTCTCTGTCTCTCTCAAATAAATAAATAAATCTTAAAAAAAAGATGTTGGTGATTAGAATTAATAATGACAGTGATCTTAACAAATTATGGTGAAGATTTTATGGTTTGAGTTCAAAGAATATCAGTATCTATCTGTGTAGTATTACATTCCTAGAGATTCATTTAACATGAAAGATGATTTCTACTTAAGTGAGGTGTAGAAATTGGCTGTCCAAAGACCCAGAAGACTGTTTTTAGGAGAACCAAGTTTTTTCAGATCTGGTCCTAACTTGATGAGCAGTAGAATCATTCTGACTTCACTGTTTAACATAGTGGAGAGACTCTGGATGAAGCTTCTGGAAAATACTGACGCTCCTCCCATATGGGACCCACAGCAATTTCTGCAGATGTCAGAAACATTCCTTTAGTGTTCTAAAACTATAAAATAAAATGTCTAGATGTTATGCACAATTTAAGAAGCTTGTATGTCCAGATAGAAATTTACAAAAGGCTAAAAATTGGGGGTGAGTCTCTTTAAGAAACCAAACTTAGAAAACATTCACTTCAGAGTGTCATGAAGAGAAAGGACTCATCTCTTCACAAAATGGAAAATGCAAGGGGTACCGAAGAGGACGTTAAATTGCACTCTTCATTAGGAGGGCTGTTGCTCAAATATTCTGAGGTAGAACTTGAACCAGTGGGCTGACGTTATAGGGAGCTAGATTTGGTTCAATTTTTAAGAACACTGAAATGATCTGTATAGCTATTCTTGATTCGCTGCTCGGTGACCCTCCCTCAGAGACTCTGGGGAGGTGTTCCCTGCTTTGATGGCAGTCATCTGACTGGCTCTAGAATTCGCTGTTTTGAGTGTCTGTAATCTGCATCAGATGTCTTAAAATTTATGAAAACGTAACTTGCAACAGATATTTTGCCCACCTCTGATTTCAGGATGTTCTTTTGCTATACAGATTTCCCCCTTAAAATTTAATATATCAGAACAAATTTTAGAGTCTTTTTAAGAGGGACTGTTCACCTTAACTATACCATAGTTGCAAAGTATCTGAAAACAGAGCCATAACCATTAGACTACGGGACACAGGGAACTGTAAGAACAGAGAAACTGGAGCTCCCAGCAGATGAGCAAGTCTAATGGGCAAAACAAATAAATCACACATGTAATTTGTCACTAGAGATTGTGCTAAGTGCTATCAAGGGAAATAGGAGAGATGTAAGCAGAGGAACTAATTTAGATGGGGGTGAGGAACTGATTTAGATAAGGGTGAGTGGGACAGGGTTCAGGGCTCACTTCACTACAGATGTGAACTGGAAGCTGAGACCTTCAGGGTGAGGTAAGGGCCTAGGGTGTGCAGTAGGCACGCATTGACTAGTTAAATATATGCACAGTGCTTTCCCAGTTAATTGGACTCTGTATCCAAGTTAAGACCAGAGTATTCTCTCTGAGTTTTTCTCAGCCATTCTAGAAACACGGTCTTTTCTGTTTGGATGCCTGGTCCATACTTCAGTTTTCCCCAAGGCTATCTTATCATGGGGTTTTGGTCTTAATTTCTCCTTGCTGTGCTCACTGTCCTGTGTGAGCCCCTCGTGAGCCATTTTACCTCTGCTGGTCTTTGATTTTCTCACCTAACTGCCGTCCATGGATCAGCCTGTCTCTTTCTGAATCTGTACCCCCAACCCCGAGGCACTAACAGCCAGAAGCTTCCATATAAGGCTCCACCCCTTCCTCCTATCCATCTACACAGTCTCAGAGTGAGTGCTGTTGTGACATCTGAACATGTGTAAGAAGCATTTAGAAAGAGCACGCACTTCGAGGCCATTCACGTCTGAACTCAGATCATGGCTCTCATTCTGCCCCAGTCAGGTTATTTGATCTCTCCAAACTTCACTGCCATTATCAGTAAAATAATTATTGTTGTGAGGATCAGAGATGATGTGTGCCGAGTGCCTGCTATATAGTTGGCATTCAAAGAAAGCAGCCATGCCCTGGGTGAGCTAGGAGGGGGAGAATGGCTTCTGGTAGTGATGCAACAATCATAACTAGAGATTAGGTTTGGAGAGAGTATACACACCCGTTCTTTCTTCACCTTCCTTATGATTGTGATGTGCTCCGACGTGCAGGCAGAAGACAAGGCAGATGTGTTGAATAAGGAGCTCCTCTTGACCAAGCAGAGGCTGGTGGAGACTGAAGAAGAGAAGAGGAAGCAAGAGGAAGAGACGGCCCAGGTAAGAGGCATCGGTGGGCTTTTGCTTTACGCAGGTGTGTCGGCATGAGGAGTTGATTAATACTCTAAGTAAGAAGTAAAATTAAACTTACTCTAAATCAAGGGCGATGTTGAAGCAGGACACGTGAGCAGCGTTGGGTCTTGGCATTTCGTTTGGAGGGCGTTAGAAGTAGGGGCAGGAACTGATTTGTCCCCTTGAACAGGTTTTAGGAATCTGCCTTGACTCAGATGGCTAGCGAGAGTGTGAAGTTTCCTCCAAGTTTAGCAACTTGGAATTACGATCCAAGAGCTTTGACAAATCTGCACAGTTTGTGTCCTGTCTCCAAGCTAACTGACTTGAACAGTAGTTTGAGAGGCTTGGGGAGCGGGAAGCCTGCAGAGATCTCTGCTGGGAGGTGCTCAGTCAGTCCCTCTCGGTTTTCCTGATTCATGCCTTCGAAGGAGGGCCAGCATTCCTGGTGGAGCTCTCAGCTCTTACTCCCTGGGGGAAGGAAAAAAGCAGCCCTTTGGGAACCAGCCTTGAAGTTAGCACCCTCCAGTCTTCATATGCGTTGGGGGGCTAATCAGCTGGAAGACGCACCACCTGGCCAAGGCCTCCCTGATAAGGGACAGGAGGGGCCTCTCTACTCAAGGAGTTGAGACTCCGGCCTTCCTGAGGAAGAGTGGGCCGCCTCACCAATGTTCTCCATCTCTGCCAGGCATGATTCACTCATTTATTTTAATGAGTTTCATTCCAAGACATCAAAAATACTAAATATAAAACAGAACACAAACCATTTCAAAGACCTGTATCCAAGCAGAAAAAGTCCACTGAAGTTACTAATGAAGGGATGTATCATTTAGCACCTTCCAGGGTTAATAAAAAGTGTTCCATGATTTTTTTTTTTTAATTGGAATATGATGAAATGACTCTTGGCATTTAATGTGGGCCAAGTTTTTTGTTTTGTTTTGTTTTTTTCACCTAGTCAAATTTTTTTTAGGAGCTGATTATCCAGTTTGATCTAGGCCTTTTGTTGGGCTTTGTGTTTTGTTTTGTTTGTTTGTTTTTTACCTCCTGCCTTTTGGGGGCTCAATTCAGTACTTTAGGTAAAGAATGAAGCTATTAGGGGCGCCTGGGTGGCTCAGTCGTTCGGTGTCTGCCTTCGGCTCAGGTCATGATCCCAGAGTGCTGGCATCAAGCCCCACATTGGGCTCCCTGCTCAGCAGGGAGCCTGCTTCTCCCTCTCCCACTCCCCCTGCTTATGTTCCCTCTCTCGCTGTCTCTCTCTCTCTCTGTCAATTAAATAAATAAATAAAATCTTAAAAAAAAAATGAAGCTATTAGCAAATTAATTTAACCCAAGCTTCTTCCCTCCCTTTGTGTGTGGGTGTATATGTGTGTGCACACACAAACACACACACGCACGTATTTGTATATGTGCATATATCCTGTTTTGATCATTATGGTACCTTTGTGAGATAGGGATTATTCTCTTCATTTGCCAGATAAGAAAACCATGGTGTAGAGAAATTAAGTGACACTTGCTCAAAGCCTCTCAGCTTTCTAAGTTTGTCCTGAAGTCTGTGGCGCCTTATCGTAGGAGGGGAGAAAGGTGTGATTTGCGTCGTTAAATTATGTAAGACAGAGAATAGAAACTAATATAAATAACTTTGAATCAATATGTCCTATAAATTGCTTTTAGAATTTAAGAACATAGCAAATATGAAGAAATTTGGAAAGCTTCTCACGATTAGGAGTCCAATTATAAATCGCAGCCATTTGTGAATTAGCAAATACAGCGTGTACCCCATTTATAATTTGGGATGCTGCAAAGCAGAATTTAATTTATTCTGATTATGTACTTTAAGATTAACCAGAGTTGTTTTGTGTTTGTTTGTTTGTTTGGTCAACAACATGGAAGAACTGAAATCTTTCCTCGTCTGGTGGCACCTGAGCTTTTCCTGCCCTACCTTCCTTGCTACCTAGAAGCCCGAATTGCTGGGCTACAAAAAAATGTGGTTTTCAGCTCAGTGTTCTTGGTTTAGCATTTCTGTGACTGTAACAGGTACCTGCATTATGTATCATGCTGGCTCCTTCTAAAGTCACTGCTCAGTCCCTGAATCTCCTGACTTCCAAAGCTCTTATCTATCTTCCTCCAACTTTTTCTGACTCTGGTCTCAAAAGCTTCCTGTTCCCACCTTCAGAGAGATACCAGCAGTGACCGTAGGGGGCTTTGAATGGGAAGGCCTAACCTGCTTCTTCAGTCATGGATTATACAGCAGTAGGAATACGCACATTGCCTGGGTGTTTTGTTTTGTTTTGGACTCTCATAAGAATAAAGATAGCTTCGGGGTGCCTGGCTGGCTCAGACGGGGGAGCATGCAACTGTTGATCTCAGGGTTGTGAGTTCAAGCCCCACATTGTGTGTAGAGATTCCTTAAAAATAAAATTAAAAAAAAAAGAAAGAAGATGGTTTCTGAATGGACACTTATTTAACAATATATTTATAAAGTAAGTGGTAAGGATAAGCACTTGTATAATGGGGTTGCTCATATGTCTTGTGCATTACAGGAGAGAAAGAAAGATGTCTGCATCTCTGGAGATGATCAGGCTTTTGATTAGGCTTTTGACTGAGGCTTGGTGTTTCTCATTCTCTTTCTCTCTAGCTAAAAGAAGTCTTCCGGAAACAACTGGAGAAGGCAGAGTACGAGATAAAGAAGACCACAGCTATCATTGCTGAGTATAAGCAGGTATCGTGCCACTGCGGTTTGCATTGCTATAAAAGTGATTATTTATATTGTTTTTCTTTGGGGGAAAATAATTTTGTCTTTAGAGTTTCCAGAGCAATAATTGCATGCATTCATTAAATTTGGTGGCTTCCTTTCTCCTCTGAAACAAACAGTGACTGGACATGCTTGCTGATAACATGGGAGGTGTAACTGAGCAAAACAATCTGTTGGCTGTTTACAATGTTTGGTAGATTGAGAGGAACAGGAAAGTTGATCTTTATCATTGGGATCCTGTCTCTGTGGAAGCACATTTCCAGTAGACCTCACTAGTAACATTTGCCTCTTTGCCAGGGACTAAAGCTTAGTGATTATATCAAATGACAGTATCTGGGGAATCAGTGTGTCCTTTGCTGTCAGAGTATAGAATGTGGGAGCTCTTCTTCCCACGTGGCCATGTGGCCTTACCCAACCATGGCCAAGGCTAGCAGGAAACCTTCTGTTGGGAACCTTTGATCTCTTAATGGAGGGCTTGCTCTCCTTGAGGATTGTCCTGGCCCCTTCACCAGAGTGCTCCCAGAAAGCCCTCATTCCTGCCCGAG